GAGAGAACTAGACATAAAAGAAACTGTCTACACAACCAGCCGGTGAATCGGACTGTCAAACTGATTTGGCCAAACACTCATTTTTGGTCATGTCAAATCAATTCTCTGATTCGTCTCACTTCCACTAGCTTGAAGTATTCAAAGGATACCTCGAGCCACCTCTTCAGGAACAAAGATGGACAAAAGATGGACTGCTGAATTAAGAAAAACCTGGATATTACAGGTGACTTAGGCTATATCATATGACTACGACAGTCCCACACTTATTCATATATTGAAATGTATAAATGCAGACTAAAAAGGAGCTTAGACCAAAATCAAGTTATTTAAAAACAAAAACAAAGGAGACGAAAATAGCTAAGTCAAATCAAACTTTAAACGCAGGTTAAAATAAAATGGATGACAAAATATCCCCAAAATTACCCTTGAGCAAAATTCCTCTCCTCAAACCTCCCATTAAAACTGCAGCCTGCCTTGAAGCTCAAAGCATTCAGATGAAAAAAAGGAAAAAAAGTCTGTAAGACAAAGGGCCCTCATGGCTTTACTATGATATTAAAATAAGGAGCTCCAGCTCAGTAGTCTTTCCTCAAGAGCTTGTGTGTTTATCCTTGGCCACAGAGGGGCTGCTGGACAAAAGCAGTACTTTCAACTTCATACAATTTGCTACAGGAAAATGACATCCCTACGTTTTAGTTTGTTAACAGGTATCAAGCTCAGTCCTCACCAATGCCTGTGTCATTCAAAGCTCTAAAACTACACAGTATCAGCAAAATGACTGTACTGCGAAGGAAGGCTAGCAGGATGAAGATGCACTTAGACAACATGTAGAAAAATCTGAATGCAGGCAGCGTTCTTTCAAACCACTTCTCTCCCAGTTGGTCTTTTTTAATGCCATATATGAAAGATTATTATTACCCTGTCACTACCTCATCCTGATTGTGGGATGTCTCTGCAATCTTGTATCATAAAGCTAATCTTCCTGGTGAACTTTTCAGAATATACCAAGCCTCTGCAGTAATTAAGCACCTACTGAAGTTTTGTTTGCACAACGTGCTATAAAGCACTCCAGTGGTCCATCACAGGAAAGCATGCCAAGCAATGGAATGGTGTCATGGGTTAGGCCGCTCCGGCAACTAAACCCTACACAGCCCCTCTCTCACCCTCCCCCACCCCCAGGGATGAGGGAGAGAATCAAAGAGGAAAAAAGAAAAGAGACCCCTGGGTTGAGATAAGAACAATTTACTACTACCGCTACCAATATATATATATATATACATATACAGATATGTACAAGGATAAACATATACAAACGAGTGATGTACTGTGTAATTACCCACCACCCCTTGACTGAGGCCTGTCTCGTTCCAAAGCTGCAATCCCGAAATGGATAAAACCCGATACCACAACCCTGGATGAACGGGAGGCCCCGAGACAGAGAGGGGCAGAGAGAGAACACCCCGAGAGTCCGAAAGTGAGAGTCCCAGAAGGGCAAAAGCCCTTCTTTCCAGCTGACTCTCACTTTTTTACTGGGCATGACACTGCATGATATGGAATACTAATTGGCCAGTTTGGCCCTCAATCTTAAATTCAGGTACAAATCATAAGGAGAGTTGTGGACCCCTTGCCCCAGCCATGCTCCCCCCTTATCCTGTTGTGCTCCTGCTCACTGGCAAGAACACGGCAGCTGAAAAGTCCTTGAGACCTCAGTGCCAACTACAAACATCAGTGCGCTATCAACATTCTTCTCAGAGCGAGCCTCTGAGTAAAACCAAAACACGGAGCTCTTCTAGCTGCTAAAAAGAAGAGCTAACACTGTCCCAGCTAAAACCAGGACAAATGGCAAAAGCAATTCTTGTCTCCATTTAACCTCCTTCCCTTTACCAACAGGTTCCCACTCTTTTGGCAGGCAGCAGATGCTGAATTTCCATGAATTATAGGAAATCAGCTCCAGTTTGGTGATCTCTTAACACATCAAGATCCTGAACTGGGAGTTTGGATATCATTGTAAGAAGAGACCAGCTGTTGCTGCAGCAGGAGTGGGAGTCTCTGGTCTACATAAGCCTATTTAAAACCATGCTGCTGTCAAATGGAGTGGTTCCTTCCTTTGCTCCTAAGCCTGGTGCTGACAATAGCACCTTACAAGAAAACAAAAAAAACAAACAAAAAAAACAACAACCAACCAACCAACCAACCAAAAAACACCAAAAAACCACCACTTTCAGTTTCCGTAGCAAATGATCAGTCTGACCAATGGTCCCACAGCAGTGCTGGTTAAAAAGAAGGAAAAAAATAAAGGCACCACCCACACAGTCAAAGCCACCTATGAAACTTGCCCAGAGAAACAGGCATTACTCTCCAACTCCCCCAAGATAAGTCACTCCCAAATTAGGGCCTTGGACTCCACAATCACCTAGGGCAGTCCTCTTCATTCCTCTTCTACTGTAACATCTAAGCTTATTTGACATTTCTTGGTCAATACAGGGCATAACACAGCATTGGACATCTGACTAACAGGCCATACAATGTCATGTTTTAAACGCATGCCTGTGTGGGATCTTCAGGAATGCACAAAGTGTTAAGCTTTCCTTTTTTTTCACCCTCCTCTATTGTGAGTGACAAAGCTAGTTCAAACCGAATTAAGTACAAACAGCATCCTGGCTGAGACACCCTACATGAAGATTCAGCTGAAGACAGAAATTTTTTTGGCAAATTATAAACCCCAGAGAAAAAAAAATCCACAGTTACTATGGAAAGTATGACACAAGCTTAGCTATAGCAGCGCTGCAAACTTAAATGGAACAGTAATACCACAAGATAAAAATTGGGGGGGAAGTCTCCTTGATGTGATTAGTTATCAAGAGAAAGCCAATGGCTTTATACCTACCATTGAAATAAGCCATGGATCTGTTTAAAAAAACAAGTCTTCTGTCTAAACTACTAAAATCTGCTTGCATTAGCTAGGTTCATCGAAGAAAGAGTCATGCAGGAAAAACAGTGGAGAAATTAAGTATTTTAGTATGTCCTGCAGT